GTCTGTTTCTTTTTATGGCCCTGAGGAAGAAACTTGGGGACAGTTTAATCTTCAGCTGGAGAAGCAAAAACGACAACAAATGGGGAGAGGCAGTGAAAATGTACTACTACAGCAGCAGCAGCAGCTCGAAGAAGATGGACATGAAGATGCTTCGGTCGATGTTACAGAAGAGAATTCAAAGGAGGGCAAACGATTTCCCAATCATGGCATTGATTCCTGTTGCCGAGGAAGTCCTTCGTTCCAGGAAAATCCTCTTCCATGGCGTCTCCACTCTCCTCAAATTCTTCCCCGTTTTGGCCTGCAAGTATGACCCTTTTCACCATCTTCTTGTTTTTGTGAGTTAATCTAATGGAATATCAATCATGTGTTATGTTGTTGGCGTTACTTAGATTGTTCTTGTTATTGTCAAAGTCCAATTCAAACTTTGGATTTTTAGTTGTTTTGTATTATATCATATCTGGTGACGAATTCACATATATAAATTATAAATTTATTGTGTGTGTGTGTGACAAAATGATGAATGGAAAAGTATATCTCTTTCACTTGTTGTTCTTCTTGGTAGTCTAAGTAGAATCACTGCACAGGCTTTATTTTTCCATCTTGAGCTTTTATCTTAATTTGGATGCTTCTATTGTTGGCATTCTTCAGTAGAACAGGTTATGTACCCAATGAAAAGGACCCAGTTTTAGGAATTTTGGTTTCATACTGTTGGTAAGAACTAGTTTCTAATAGATTTAGAGACTTGTAAAACGATGGCACAACTTTTCATTAATGAGAAGGATATGTATGTGCTATACATGAGAGTTTGAACCTAAAACTCATGCTAGTAAGCTAAATTGAATAATTATAAGATAAAAACAAACTATTTAAAATAAATAATCTTTTGTCATTATAATTTCCTCCACCTTGGCAAAGAGAACTAGTTTCTTCCTAGGAACATGTCTGCGAAGCCAAATGGAAAAATTACAAAGGACCGTTGCCGCTTGGGAGTGCTTTCAAAATACTTGTCTTTTGGGTGTTAAAATGGAAATGAGAAATTTTGAGGAATAGTACTGGTACCGATTTTGAATGTGTTCAGTTGTTCTTCTAGAGATTTTTTTTTTCCTTTTTTTGAATGACTTCTAGAGATTGTTTTGAGCGTAAGAAAAAGTGAGCCAATGGTACTTTTTAACTGAATTAATGTTTAGGGTTCAGATAAAATTTTAGGTTTATTCTTGTGAATCATTCCATTTTTCCATACACTTATTCCTGATCTTTATTTAAAGGCAACTTCTACGTCTAATTTTTGATAGAATATGATACGATACAAAGGCTGGAATATTTAAGGGATTGGTAATCGGAGTGTATACTTTCATAATTCCATAGCATAGAAGGTTAATTTTCCAATGCCATATGCGGAGGTGTTGTTTTGTTTCTGTAGATTTGATCTAAGTTTGCTGCTTCTTGTTCTGATTTCATCAAGTGAATGCTTGGCAGGTTCTGTCCTGAAGTGTACATTGGCGAGGAGGGCCACTTAATTCAAACTTGCCATGGCTATAGACGTAGGTCCAAAAATAAAGTACATCAATGGATCGTTGGTGGTTTGAATGATATACTAGTTCCTGTGGTGGCATTTCACCTACAAGACATGTTCCAGGATGTCATTAAACACCACGAGAGGTTTGACCTGGAACGTGTTTCTGCAGTTGTGGAGCTCTGCTGGCAAGCAGGTGCTGCTCCAAGTGATGAAGACTTGTACCCCACCACCACCATTGCCACCATTACCACAAACTTGGATGGTAACTCAGTTGCTTCTGATAGAATCGAGTCTCTTTCACCTCAAGAACTGCAATCGGTAGCCAAAACCACATTGGACGCGTGGGAGACGCTCAGAAGTGGCGTGCAGAGGTTGCTGCTGGCTTATCCAGCTAAAGTCTGCAAATATTGTTCTGAAGTTCATGTTGGTCCTTCCGGACACTTGGCTAGGAACTGCGGTATGTTCAAGTTTGAGAGTTGGAGAGGAACCCACTTTTGGGAGAAAGCAAAGGTGGATGATTTGGTGCCTCGGAAGATTGTGTGGCGACGCAGGCCTCATGATCCTCCCGTGCTTTTGGAAAAAGGGAGGGACTTCTATGGACACGCCCCGGCCCTAGTGGATCTGTGCACAAAGGCTGGTATAGTTGCCCCTGTAAAGTACAATTGTATGATGAAGATTCAAGGCTTATCTACACCTGCAAAATTGAACTTTTGAAGGCATATTTATAGGTGGTTAAGCTAAACTTGTTTCAAAGAAGTTGATTTAATAGAGAGATGAGAGTTACTTATACCTGATTCATTTGGTTCAAATTTTGTAATTAATATCTTAACCATAGTTTGTATTGCGCTTCGCATGAATCCTTAAGGGGGCGTTTGGTAGAGAGATTCGTTCCCTGATTCGAATCATGATTCGTGGTTCGCTACAGTATTTTCTCTCACAAAAAATACACGTAAATAAAAAATGGTTCAAATCACATGATTTGAATTCTCCAACCAAACGAACCCTAAGAGTCAATAAGAAGGATATTTTGGTTGACGTCTCTTGTACACACTATATTGTGGGGTCCTCACACGTGGAGCCTTTAGGCAAGCAACACGTGGCAAAGAGAGGGGCTTTCCCTCAAAACGGTTCCTACTTGTATCATTTTATGTTTACTATATTGAAATTCTCCAGAAATTTGTTTTTGATATTATATAACATCTCAACATGAATCAGAGTATACAATACGACGATGCGTTTTTGGCAAAGAATTTTGTTTTGTGCGTTTTGGGTAGGGCCAGCGAGTACTGCTTTCCTTAGGCTTGCCTTATCAAGAAGCCCACTAAAACGTGAGCGGGTCCCAATATCAGAACCCAACTAGAGCGACATTTCATGCCCAAAGCCCAAAGAACGGGCCCAGATGGAGCCCACCACGAAGCGGGGCCTGATAAATCCAGCCCACCGACAGCTCTGGAACATTGAAAAGCAATCCAAAACTTTCATGGAAAAAGGGAAAAAAAAAAAAAAAAAAAAGTTAAGTGAGATGATTAGTTCCTCAATTGTCTAGACAGTTTGATCTCTAATTTTTAATTTGAATAATTATATTTTTAATTTGATTATAGTCTCCGACAAATTTAAAGCTTATTGTTTGGTTCCTACATTTTTTAATCAATTAATCTTTGAGTTCATTTTTTTTGCACCATTTTGGTATGCAAGTAAAAAATTAACGGTAAAAACTCAAAATTTAATAGAAATAATCATGTGTTGGCCTCTTATTGCATAATAAATTGAAATTTTACTTAAAAAAAAAAGACATTCACACGAGGTTCAAAATGTCGAAAACCTTTTGTACTTCCATAAAATTTCAAGTTGTCACGTGATGTAATTATTTCTGTTAATTTTAAAAATTCTCAACTGATGTTACGCTTAAGAAGCAAAACTATAATAAAATAAAATAAAATAAAATAACGGAAAATGTTAAAGCATCCAACTACGAGAAAACTGAAATTTAAAATAGTAATAGGAAAGTTGACAAGTTGTGGACTTATTTGAAATTAGTGCATATCTCTTGAGTTTATCAAACCACATTAAATTTGTATGTTATGTTCCCCTTTTATTTTATTTTATTTGTTTAATTGTTTAATTTTTAATGTCAAAAACATTAATTAAAAAGAAAAAGAAAAGGAAAAGGAAAAAGAAAAAAATAAATAAATAAAGGTAGTTAGGAGGGAAGGAAGAATGATAAGGAGCACTAAAGCGACAGTTAAAATAGTGGAAAAAAGCTCCCGCGGAAAGGTGGTTTGAAGGGGCATTTGCATAAGAAGTATTAGTATTAGTGTATTTGTTTATTTTGGTTTCATAACTGGAAAGTCCTTCTCTGCTCGTGGGGCTCCTCAATGCCCTTCTCACTCTTCTTTTCCTTTTCTTTTCTGAGCCTTTTCACATGATTCTGTGTCTGCTTTGAAAGTGATCCTCAGAAGAAGAAATTAATTAGAAGAAGAAGAAGCCAAGCAATAATGGTGAAGGAAACCGAGTACTACGATGTCCTCGGTGTCGCTTCATCGGCTTCCGAGGACGAAATCCGCAAGGCTTACTATCTCAAGGTTTCTTCTTTCTTTCTTTCTTTCTTTCTTTTTTGTGTTTGTGATGTCAAAGTTTTTTGCTTGCTAGTTGTCGTCATAACTAACAAATCTCAGGTTCTTTTTATTTAAGTTCAGCTAGTGTGACATAAAATCATTATTGATTTTCTATTTTGTCTGTATATCTTTTGATGGTTATGATGTTTTGAGGAATTTAGTGAATTTGGATTTTTGTTAAATCTAGATATTATATATATATATATATATATATATCCTGCGTTTCATGATTTAGAGATCTAATTGTTTCATGCCAATTTTTGCTCACAAGTTGTTCCACTGGATTTTTCTTTCTATTAATTTCCGGACTATTTCTTATGATATGATTGAAAATAATGATAGCAATGAAAATAACAAGATGAGATGGTATTTATGGAAAATAGGCAAGGCAAGTTCATCCGGATAAAAATCCCAACGATCCTCAGGCTGCTGAAAGATTTCAGGCAAGTCTCTTTACTTGCTCAACTTTTTCATTCTTGTTATCTTTTCTTCCCTTTTTTTCGTCCTAAAAACAAAAGGGAATTATTTGCACAAAAAGTGGGGTTCATCTTAGATTCCCTGAATCCATGTATAATATTTTGTCACTTACAGCCTTAATTAGATCAAATCAGATCAGTTCATATATAAATCTTTCTTTTTTGTCATTTTTCAGTATAGTATTTTCTCATTATATCAAGTTTTCCTTGCTAATTTTCTCTTGAAATTGTTCTTAATATTGGTAGGTACTGGGTGAAGCGTATCAAGTTTTGAGTGATCCTGTTCAAAGAGATGCATATGATCGAAATGGAAAGTATAGCATATCCAGGTAAATTTTTCTTTTTCTTTTTCTTTTTATATGCCATGCCTTCATATAGATTATAGTCCTGTTATGATAATATCTTTTCCGTTAGTAAAAATAAGAAATAAGAAATATAAATAAATTGTAATTTAAAGTGAGAATAAAATCTGAATTATGTTTGGATAGAGTGTTGTAAACATATTAAAAGCATTAGAGAGTGCAACAACATGAGTTTGAACTTAAAGACGTATCTTTGTGCTTTGAAAGAGAATTGGTAAACTAACACGTATCCTTGTGTTTTGTTTCGAAGGGAAAGTATGCTCGATCCCACAGCGGTGTTTGCGCTTCTCTTCGGAAGCGAATTGTTTGAGGACTACATAGGACATCTGGCTGTAGCATCAATGGCATCTTCTGAACTAGTTGGAGAGAATGAAAACCCTGAGAAACTACATGATAAGTTGAAGGCAAGTATGTTCTAATATATGGTAGATCAATCTGTTTATTGGTTTACTTTCAAAGTTATTCGCCTAATTTTTTGAGAAAGCATATATAGGCAGTTCAAAGAGAGAGAGAAGAAAAGCTAGCAAGGTCATTGAGAGATTTTCTGTATCAGTATGTACGAGGCGACAAAGAAGGGTTCATAAAACGCGCTGAATCCGAAGCCAGACGACTCTCGGATGCAGGTTTCATTATGCTTTCTTTAGCCTGCTATGTGTTTTAAAGATTGTTCAAGTGATCATTTATAAAATTCAAAAAACAAAAATGTTATATGATCATTGGTGCTATGAAGATATAATAGAAGATTCTAAAGACTGTTATGTAAAAACATTTTTTCTTTCAAATATTAGCAGAATGATAAGTTGACAATTCATTGCAATATCTCTCAACTTGATTGATTGTAAAATCTGGTGTTTTCTATATTTCCTTACCGAACTATTACTATTAGGATTTTCAAGTTAGTCCAAATGTTACCGAGACTTTTTCTACTTGTCCAAACATGAAAAATTAAGCATATATAGTTGTAATATATGCTTGTATCTTAGTTATTTTTAGTGCTTTTGAACTCTTTAGTTGCAAATCAGATCTTAATACTTGGTTAGCATCAAACTTTAGTCTGTTTGCTATATTATGATAATGCTTTGAAACACGTACAGCTTTTGGAGTTGAAATGTTACACTCCATTGGCTACATATACTCGAGACAAGCAGCACAAGAGCTAGGAAAGAAAGCCATATATTTGGGAGTGCCGTTCTTGGCCGAATGGGTTCGCAACAAAGGACACTTTTGGAAGTCCCAGTTAACTGCTGCAAAAGGTGTATATTAATATAAAAGCTATTGTATTAAGCACTAAACTATAAGTATTTGTAAATGATCGATCATTTATAGCATTTGTATTATGTTGTTAATTCACGCTAAGAAAACTTTGTGCCTTCAGTTTTGTCGCCTAATTTTGTTGTGTTAAATAAAAACCTAGGTGCTTTTCAGCTATTGCAACTTCAAGAGGATATACGACGACAGTTTAAGGTGGACGGAAGTGTCCCTGAAAACGATGTGGAATCCCACATACGCCAAAACAAAGACACATTGATGAGCTCCTTGTGGAAGTTGAATGTTGTGGATATTGAAGTAACTCTTTTACATGTTTGCCAATTGGTGAGAAGTTTTCTTTTTCGTTGTCTCGAATTCGATAAGCAAGGATTCAATTCCGCGAGTTTAAAAGTATAATTATTGTTTTGTCTCCTATTATTGACCTTCGCAACTTTTAGATCTTTATAATGCGCACGATAGAAGGCGATTTCGTTTGAAACAAATAACGCATTGTTTTATATGTTCTTCAGGTGCTTCATGAAAACAATATTAAAAAGGAGGAACTTAAAGCTCGTGCTCTTGCTCTGAAAATTCTAGGCAAGATATTTCAGGTCAAATACTTTCCAAAAGGAAAACGAGATTTTGTAGATTCTAACGAATGAAAAACTTATGGAGGTACTTAACTGATAAACTTTTATGCATTCAGGATGAAAAGCTAGCAAGAAATGGTGGAACATCAAGAAGGAAGAATGCCGCTGAGATAGACGACGACGAAAGCAGTTCCGATAGCGATGATGATTCAACGAGGCCACTTTCGTACCGAACCCCTTTTCTAACTCAGGCAAGCTATCATCTTTCGAAGAACTACATGGACTAATTCTATGAGCAAGTTATAACATTTTCGTTTTCCCCATTTATGCCAGGGTCTTGGAAGACTGTTCAGATGCCTGTGCAACCCAGCATTTGATGTGGATGATGAAGAGATTGTGTACAAAAGCAAATGAAATATACAAGGGCACTACTCTAACGTTGTACATGTATGGAAATGGCAACACAACTTGTATTAGTAATGGACCTAGTCATGCTCAAACGATGGGAGTGTAAATGAAAAAACCAACATAAGAGAAGGGTCTCTAGTGCATTAATTGCAAGTCTCTATCGTTTTTTTTTTTTTTTTTTTTTTTTTTTTTTTTTTTTTTTTTCTCATAATCAAGCTCCTAAATTTGTGTTTGTTTTTATGTGTATTTGTTTTGGGAAACACATAATTTCCATCTTAATTCCATGGCATATCTCTGCTATCCAATTTGTCCAAGTGCCTTGTCGTCGTTGACCTTTTGACAACCAACATTGTTACCTTTACTAGAAATGAAATTCTTTTCAATTTATGCATGTTTTTAACATCATTTTACATGGGATAAATATGTTTAGAACAACCAAGTTTCCCATTTCATAAATGAAATGATGGCAAAAGTTCAAGTTCAAGTTGGAAGCTATTTCTCATTGTCTGCAGGTTCTGAAAAACACTTGCAGCTAGTGTTGGACATATAAACACAACCCTATGTACATCGGAAAAGGATTTCGTTTCCCCATATTAACATAAGCTCCAGCTCAATGAGCGGAAGGAGGCAGAACACTTGGTGTGCGGTGTGCTTGGACAGCACAGGCACAGTGCACCGATGTCAAGTTCAGGCAGCCGCTAATGATGAGAGAATGCCTGCCGGAGCAAGTATGAAGCGAGGGAAACGTGTCACACACCGCTTGCACAGCAGACGGGGTGAGCGCGGTGCACTGGCTTATGTTGAGAGTCCTAAGCCCGTCTTCATCGTTCCTGGCTTTGACAGATTCCCACATTGCAGGCTTGTTTCTCACTCGACTGTGGGCCAGCGAATACATCGCCCTGTCGGTGATGTTCTGACAGTAGTACAGGCCGAGGGATCTCAGGTGAGCACACCTATTTGCCAAAGCAATCACACTATCATCTGCAATACAAGAATTCAGAGGTCAAAGAGCGTTCACCACCAAAATGCACAACGAAAATGGAGCATTCTACAGTAGGGCCAAAAAAAGGCATGAGGTCTTCATCATAGTCTAAGGAGTTGTTTGGAAGCTATACCCAAACCCAAATCATGATTCTACTACAGTGCTTTTTATCTCACAAAGAGTTTGAATTCCAAAATTTCTTCTTTCACAAAATTCCCGCCAATGAACCTAAATCATGATTTGAGTATACCTTCCAAAACCGGCCTTAATAGATTTGGATACTGGATTATGATTCTAATCTAACATTAAGAAATGCGGATATCCTACCACAAAAGTTACGTAGGAAAATATTGGATAGCACTTATTGAAATAAGGGCGGGGCAAAATGCATCTAACGCAAAAATACCTGTTATGAGAACACATCCACACAAGTCAAGGGTTCTGAGATCAGGGCATCCATATGCCAAACACATAACTCCAGCATCACTCACATTTTCACACCATCCAAGGTTTAAAGACTGCAACTGATTGCAGTAACGCCCGATCGCCTGCACATTGTTTCACGATTAGTTCAGAAATATCCCGGATAAAACACGGAAAAGAAAAATCAACTAAAAACTTATTCATACCTGCAATGCCCTGTCTGATGCAGGTTTGACACATCCACAAAGGTTCAAGACTTTCAACTTTCTGCAAAAACTAGCCAGGTATTCAAGAGCAGTGTCACTGAAAGCAGAACAGCCACTTATGTTGAGATGGGTAAGGTTTTGGCAACCATGAGCTAAGGCATATAAAGAGTTGTCACTGAGCTTGAAGCTTTTGCTGAGGTCCAGGATCTGGAGATCATGGCAGAAATTTGCTATGGTCTCAACAGCATTATCCTCGAGTTGCGGTTTGTCCTGGCGCAGAATCAGAGTTTGTAGTTTTGTGAAGTTAGAAGCAAGTGACAGGACCAAGTTGTTCATATTCTTGGTACACCTGAAAAAAGGGAGAAATCAAATGAGCCATATTCAGAAATTCAATTGGTGAAGCACAATCAGTAAGTAAAAATAATAAAAATAAAAGAACTCAGACTACCCATACATATCTCCCCTAAGCAAAATTTTAGGACTTCGATAAAATTTTTTGCCAATCTAGAGGTTTCAAATTAACTTGCGCAACTTAAAAAGCCTTTTCCTTTTTTTCCCTTCCATTGAAAGCCTGTGAAATGAACCAGCTAGTGATGATTTAGCCACGCCTTCAGGAATTTAATTGTTGAACCACAAACAGTTTTTTTTTTTTTTTTAATCTCAAAAAAGTCCCTCTCTTTATTTATAATTTCAACACTACTATAATCTTCTTCCCAATACAGAGGCTGCAAAAACTAAACTTGCGCAACTTAAAATTCTCCCCTTCCCAACCATGGAAAGAAAGCACATGAAGAATCCTCTAAAACATATATAATCTCAACAAACTCTCAAGACTTAAATTGTACACAACTTAAAAATCCTAAAACAGAAAAGACAGAGAGAGAGAGAGAGAGAGAGAGAGAGAGAGAGAGAGATAATATACCATGAGAGAGAGAGACGAGTGAGACCAAGGCAAATAGCATCTCTCCAGCCACGGCAGACCCCAGAAGCCATGATGACCGTCTGATCATCAACACGAGAAACAATCTGCAACAAAAGCTCCATGGGAATATCCTTCCAATCAGTGATAACCCCAGCTTTCACTTTCACTTTCCCACCACTACAAGGATTTCCCACCATCATAAGCTTCTCAAAACTCGTGTTCAAGTCCTCAGCCACCTGCTTTTGGTTTTCGTTTTCGTTTTGGTTTTCTTTTCCCACCATTTTTCTGACCCTTCCTCGGATCAACCAAACCAAAAATAGGCCAAAAAGCTCACCGCTTTAATGGAAATTCGTGCAGCAACAATTCACAGATGGTTCCTCGTTTCTGCCACCCAAAACAACAAAAGAAGTTTAGAGAGGAATTGGATAAGCATAAAAGTCATAGCAAATTCCAATACCTTGAAAAACGAGGTCAACAAAAGATAGAAGAGTGTAAAAAACGACAAGAATTAAAAGGAAATATCAGAACACAACCAAAACCCAAGTGGCAACTTCATAAGAACTTTTCAGAGATTGCAACAGATAGAAAGTGTGATTGACCAATCCCAATCAAAACCAATTTCCGAAGTTTTATTTACACACAAAAATATCCCGAAAAACCTTTTGATTACTCTAAAAAATTATTACTACACACAAAAATATCCCGAAAAACCTTTTGATTACTCTAAAAAATTATTACTACACACAAAAATATCCCGAAAAACCTTTTGATTACTCTAAAAAATTATTACTACACACAAAAATATCCCGAAAAACCTTTTGATTACTCTAAAAAATTATTACTTTAAAACCATACAAATTGAATTAAGTATATATTATGCACGTACACTCTTTTGATCACTCTCAAAAACACATTACTTTAAATCATATATTAGCTCTTTTCCCTTTGCTCTGTTTCTCATAAAAATGAGGGGAAAAAGGCTAATTAAATAAGAACATTTAACAAGGAAAAAGATTTATTTTTTCTTTTAAAAAGATACAATTTCAACAAAAATGAAGTTAGCTCTACAAAAGCGCACAAAGTTTTCGAATTTGAGAAACAGAACACAGCAGTAATCGATGATCATCAGAAAATTAAAATTTTTTTAAAAAAAGAATTAAGCAAAAGTGATCAGATAATTACCTGGGTTTAGCTCTGAAAAGAGTTTTCTTGGTTCATTAATTGTGCTTTTTGAAGACAAAGCAGAAGAGAGAGGAAAAAACTAGAACTCGAGTATTTGTTTTGGAGTATTGGAGAGAGAAAGAGAGGAGAAATAGAAATAAAATATAAATATACAAAAAGAAAAAGAAAAAAGGAGGGAGAAACGTACAGCAGAGGGAATTAGCGACGCGTATTACGCCACGTGTCAGTTGATGATGAACTCTTATGTGATGTGATTAGTGGGACCCTCCGGAAAGTGGTGGCCACGTAAAGTAGTATGATTTGATTACTTGATCAAGATTCAAGACCTTTATCTCTTTTGGTCAAGCACTCGGCACTTTTTTTTTTTTTTATTTTTTAGGGCACATCACAAGAAAATTAATAGAGAGAATTCTTTTTTTTTTTTTTTAAAGAAAAGGTACGAAAATAAAAAATTCAATTTTTGAAGGAAGAAAAAATTCCGATTATTGGAATATGTCAATAGATAATTTTCAGATAGACAAATTAGTTTTATAGTTTAGTTTAAAGCAATTTGGAATTAGAGAAATTAATTTGTACAAGTAATAGAAGAGTAGGAGGTTCCATTTTTTTGTTTAAACACGAAACCGCACTTTAAAGCAATTCCGTTCAATATTCGAGAACCATTTCTTTTTAATTACAAAATTCTCTATGGAGTCTTTACGATACTTTACGATAGAATAAGATATTTTACTATCAATATCAATAGAGATTGTGTTTTTATTTTTAATTAACTTTTTAATAATTATATTTACAGTAGTAGTAATTATGTGACGTGTTATAAATTTTTAATATAAATTGATACTGATTTAATTATAAAAAAACTAATCTAATAGTTAAAATAACTGTTTCTATTGATAGAACACAATAACTTACTTCACTTAAATTTCTAATCGCGTGCTTAAAATTTGAGATTAGATACTCTGTAAATTTTATAGTTTTTGTTTGGATAAGAATTTTAAATGGTCAAATCTACGTGTAAATTTTATTTACCATTTTTATATTCTTGTGATTTTAGTTATATTTATTGTTTAAAAATTTCATTTGAAGACACCGCTCATATTTAAAATTTGAAATTTCATCTTAAGACACCTCTCACATATACAATTTGATCAAATCTTGCATAACTGTATTAAGGATAAAATTTATACGGAATTATTAATAGAAGAGTAAATATTTTATTTTCAAGAATTTAACATTTAATTTCACCTAAATCCTAAGGAAAATGTAAGATTTACTTTCGCATATTTAACGATATAGCACCTATTGAGGGATAAGAAAACTGTTTTTTTTTTTTTTTTTAAATTTTAAATTCACCTATTTCTATACAAAGTCTTTTTCCAGGAAAAAGAAAACTATTAGAGGGATAAGCTATATTTGTCACATTAGTATGTGCCATCTATTTGTTAATATTAAACCTTTACGCATTCCACCCCTTTTTCTCTTATTTAAATTAAATTCACAAAATCGAAAATATACACACACACACACATGCACTTGGCAACTCTTGAAGAGAATTTGCCTTCTTATGATTTTTTTTTTAAAAAAAAAGAAGAAATTAAAAGAGGACGAATTATTCTCATTTTTATGGCCCCGTTCATTTAGCTGATTCGAGTTTTTAATTCGAGTTGAGATGTAATTTTATGTGAGAGCTTTTTACTGTAACAAAAAAGTTAGATGTGGTTATTTATGAGAGTTTTTCACTGTAGCAAAACTCGAATTATAAACTCAAATCAGCAAAATGAACGCCTTAATAGCCTTTCTATTCTATGGTCAACAGTGTTTCAACCGTGTGGTAAAAGTCATGTAAGCAGCCAATTGTTATTTGTCTATTATGTGATGAAATTGGCTGCCCCATATGTTGATTATATACTAATGAGACAAATAATAATAGTAATAATAATAATAATAATAATAATAATAATAATAATAGTAATAATAATTCCACCTAATAAAAAATGAATAAGAATAATGTATAATCGATGGCGATGGAGATGGAGATGTTTTCTTTTGTTTGCTTCCCCCCCTTTTTTTTTTCCCCTAAAATGGTCTTTGTGAGAGATATTAGCTGTGAACTAATTTTTTTTTTCTTTTTTAAACTAAACTATTTACAAAGCAGGCTATTTATTGGCTTGCGTAGGATCAGAAGCAAAGGTTTTGGTGACTTTTCTAACACATGGAATTATCATGATGTTCCCAAAAAGATAAGTTTCTGGAGCAATTCCATTTTCTCACGCATACATTCCATTGCCATTCTTGTTCTTATCGAAGCGAAATCTAAACAAATTAGTATTGGATTTTTAACGCACTTATCTCCCGAACTTTTCTCGAAGATTAACAAGTTTTTAAAATCTTAATTTTGATTGATAATGGTATTTAAAATTTTGGCAAAAAATCTTGATCACGTGCTTGAAATTAGTGGTTTCTTTACCCTTATCCCCATGCCAAAAGAGGAATTTAGTACTCTAGAGATTGCATAAGCCCTTTTCTGGCATAGCAACCGAAATGAAAATTGTGACAAATGACATATTAAAAGGTGAGACTTTTTTCGGTAGGTAAGCTTATCTACTATAGTGTCAGTTTTTAATTGTTATATATTGTCAAAATCACATTAAATTAAAAAATAAAATGAAAAAATAGTTTTTTAATACATATTTAACAGTTAAATAGTAGAAAAATATGATAATTCATTTTTTCCGATTCTATAAAAAAAAAAAACCCCTGAAAGATAAGTGCTTACTGCTTGAAGAAAGATACATATATAGCTATATAATTCCTTCTCTATTGCATTCGGCTGGGGTTCATGCATGCTAAAAAGTACATAATTTTATAGCTCTTAATCTCTTTATTCTCTATTTTCTATTAACTTAAAAAGAACTTCCTAAATAACAGCACTAGCTCCTAGCTGTCCCATCACATGGCTACGTTTACAAGTAGCGAAATGATCAAAGTAGCAATTCAACAAAGCAAATTGTTTGTTAGAGAGAGCAAAAAAGGATATGAAGAGATGATCTTATAAGCAACAGCTTGCTTGTAAGGGCAAAAAGGGAAACAAAAAAATTATGTAAGCAAAGTAACAACTTTTATATAGTTTGATAATATTTTGTGGCTGAAAAAGCTCACAGATTGCGACTAAAAACAAGATGGTCAAAAAAGTATTAAAAACGACAAAACGATCGAATTGGTGAGGGAAAATCTATTTCTACAATTTGGTTTTTAGTGTTCGATATATTAGAGAAAGGAAATCAAAGTCAACAACAGTAGATAGGCAAAGCATTGATCCAAATATATATATATATATATATATATATATATATATACACACACAGAGAGACAGACATATATATCAAATGCCATCAATTCAGCTTCCAAAATGCATAAGTAAGTGGGTAACATAGTGGGACTCTTATAGGCTTAGAGAATTATGGTTAGTGGATGCCTCACGTCTTTGTTTGAACTCTATTATGTTCCTTTTGCCTTTTGAGTTCATGCATGCACTTCTCCTCTTTTTTTTTTTTTTTTTTTTTTTTTTTTTTTTTTTTTTTTTGGCCTTTGGTGATTAAATAAAAAATAAAAAAATAGAAAGTGAGTACTCACATAAAAAAAAAAAACAAAAAACAACAACAATAACAAGCGTCTCCATTATATGAGGTATATATGAACTCTCACGAAGTATATTGTCTATTTATCTTTCTCACTATAATTAGATTGTCAAATATTTTATCTAGGAAAACAAACTGAATGATCGGCATATTTTCTTATACCACTTTCTTTTTTCTTTTTGATAATTATCTCTTTTATCCCCTTAGAAAAAATACTCAAATTTTAGTTTTCTTCTGCCTCAAAAGGAACATTACAGTCTTGAATCCTCCATTGATTTGAAATATTCAGATCATGTTGGCGAATTTGGCACTGGTTCTCGTCCCGATACATTATTATGTTTGAGCTGTATAATAAGTCTTTTTGCATGATTGATATGTATGGATGAGAAAGGATGTTAATTAATTTGGTGAACTTTAGTTGGAGCAACAATTGGGTGTAGCTTGTATAATAATGCACCTTTTAAGGGGTCTATTTAGAATAGGTGCGCGTATAATTACATACAAGAATAATAACTTGTCGGTTGCGGATTGTCTTTTCCTTTGTTATCCCTTGCGTACAGAGTTTGTTTGCTTATGATTTATGACCATTTAATTAGTGATAAACCAATTAAATAAACAATCGAACAAATAATGTTTCTGTAAAATTTATATGTCACATTCATGTTCTTATCGTGCTATGATTTTGCACTTTCTAAACTTTTAAAACCAAAGTATTTTTTGACGATTTTAAATCGTTCCGTGTTTCTTAAAATCTGTTGTATCTTTTAATAATCTTCGCGTTAATTTTTATCATTGAAGCCTTTGAGAACACTGTTTGGGCATTTTCTACGTGTTTTAATGTTTAATAACAATGGTTTTTGTCTCATTAGATTTGTTTCTTTGCACTGTTTTATATGACGTTGATTGGAGCTTTCCACCAATAATAAAGAATTTGTTGTTTGTGTACGTATTTGAACGTTCGATTTCAAATCTTGATATATGTTTCTGTCATTTTAGCCTTTTTATTCAAATTTATTAGTGGGTCGGTTGTTTATCATAGTCATGTTTTCTTATAGTACGACGCAATATATACATGTTTGTAGTGCTTTGTAGTATATTTTTCTTTTATAAAAAAAAAAAAAATTAACCGATGCAATTTTTGCTTTCCGTTTTTTTTTTTTTTTTTGGAAAGAGTAGAAAATAAGCCAATATAAAAAGCTTAAAGAAGTATATAGGCCAACTTAAGTTATGGTTCATAATCAGATAAGTTATTGACAAATTTGTCAAGTTATAGTTCATAGCCAGATAAGTTATGGACAAAAACTGTGATTTATAGACAATAACTTGTCAAGTTATGGTTCATAACTAGACAAGTTATAGACAAAAATAGTAATTTAGCTTATTTATTAACTTATGTAAACTAGTAACCTATTAATTTTAATTCATCTCAAGTCTTGACCTATTTTCCACTTTCTCTCATTTTTGGGGCTCAAATTCAGTTGAGTGGGTTTTAGAATTGGATTACGATTGCGTGTGGCCCAAATTCACTTGGCCCGGCAACGTAGTTTTCTGTTCCTAGTTGACTTGCTCAAAACAATTTTGAACCATTCCTGTTTTCCCTTTTTTTTTTTTTTAAGCTGTTTCCATATATACAGATCATGGATATAATTTTACTTGTAGCACTATAATAACAGAATAGTCATATGAGTTAAAATATAAAAGATAGATCTCATAGTAATCCTAAGTGACAATTTTTATATGGCGTCTTATCTATTAATAGGGGGAGAGTATAATAATAGGGAGAATATTTCTCCATGGTTGTATTAATAGGGAGAGTATTATAATATTTCTCCGTACATATATACGAGTGTGATAAATCGGATTGTGTGCAAATATATGATATACGAGAAAACAGAATGCAAATCTCCTGCCCATTTTCCGGTCTTGCTTTTTGTCTGGTGAATCAATTTTTGACACAAAATTGAAATTAAGTAGAGCTTTCGCATTCAAGACAAGAACAAAATGATTGGATTCACAAAAAAACGATTGACAAGAAAAATGGACAAAGGATTTGCATTCAAGCAAAAACACCATTTTTCTTTTTTCTACTTGTTTTTTTTTTTTTTGTTAAAGGGAAAATGCAGAGAATAGTATTTGTCATACCCTCTTCTTTGAAGTAAATAGTGGGGTTTTTTTTTAAATGATGATGGATTGTAGAATATTTCAATTTTCAAAAAGAATTAAAATTTTCTATTAGAATTTTATCTCTTTTTTAGGATTCATTTCCTTTCTTCTTCCTAAACCCTTCTCTCTCCTCTCTCTCTCTTTCCCAACCGTTAGACGTTAGACGCAGACATGCCACATTCAGTTTAGTTATTCGAGTTGAGATATGACTTCATGTGAGAGTTTTTAACTGTATCAGAAAAAGTTAGATGTGACTTTTTGTGAGAACTTTTAACTGTAGCAAAACTAGAATTAAAAACTCAAAACGGTGAAATGAATGCGACCTCTTTCTCTTGTCGTGATCTCTAGCACCGGCGGAGCCGCACGATTTCAATGGCGATGGCTTCAGCGCTCTCTTTCAAACTAGATCTAGCGAGGTTCCATCGTGATTCTAGTCTGAAGCCCAATTCTGATCTTCGTTGACACTCTCTTCTTCTCGCGCATTCGGACATTAGGAAATCGCAAGGGATGCTTCACGACGGGGAATTAAAGAAATGTCACGATTTGAGTTCTACTAAGGGCGACCACCTTCTTCTCGCGTCAGCAGGCGGCGGCAACGATGTTTGGCGTTCGTAGATCTGGGAATGCTCTCTCTCTCTCTCTCTCTCTCTATTTCTCTTCTTGTTTTGTTGTTTTTGTAGGTTGGTTCTGCCGAAAATGGTGTTGCCGTGAAGGATACCGTGAGCGTGGCCGTGATGTTGTGGGTGGTGGCTGCCGGTGTGGACTGATGGATGATTTTGTTTTATTAGAGTTTGGTTTAGAACTAGGGTTATCTGAATTGGGGTGTTGGCATTGAATTTGAGTTTGTAATTAATTTGTGCAGTTGTTTGTTTGTTTACTGAGTTTGTGATTCATTCTCGTTTGTTTTTGGATTTGTTTGAGTCTGTGATTTTTGTAGACCTAATTGGGATTTGTTTACTGAGTTTGTGATTTTTTAGATCTGATTTTTTATTTTTCACATTCATGTGTTTATGATTTTTTAGAAAGTTTTATTCCACATTTACCGGTCACTCACTCCTATCACCGGTTACTGAACCTTTCTAGTAAATATGGTATTTATCGGTAAATACAAATTTATCAGTCAATACGGATTTTTAGATAAATATGATTTTTTAAAAAGTAATACAATATTTACCGATAAATATCATATTGACCAGTAATTACAGTGTTTAAAGGTTGTCGGAGGTGATGGCCAGATTTTCGGATAAAATAGTTGTTACGAGTAAATGCGATATTTACTGGTAAGTACAGTAATTATCAGTTGCCGGCATCGATGTCTGAAGTTTTATATGAATATGGTGTCTAAAAGTAAATACAATATTTATTGGTAAATATTATATTTACCAGTAAATATAGTGTTTAATGGTCACCAGAGTCGACGATCAAATTTTGAATAAATATGTTATTTATTAGTACATATGGTATTTAATGTTAAATACAGTACGGAGCTGGTCGTCGGATTTTCGTATAAAATATTTATCGGTCGCTGGTACTGACGTCTGAATTTTTGAATAATTATAGTATTTACGAGTAAATACGATATTTAATAGTAAATATTTTATAAGCTACAAGTTTGCATCTGGTAAATATTGTAATACCTTTAAATACTTTAATAACTATAATTTTGAATATAGTAAATATTGTATTTATATGTAAATACTTTAGTAGTTACAATTTAGAATCTGTTATATTTGTCGGTAAATATGGTATTTACCGGTACATATAGTGTTTAATGACTGCCGGAGTCGGTGGCGGGATCTTAGAATAAATATGATATTTACTAGTAAATATGATATTTATCAGTAAATACAGTGTTAAACGGTCGCCAAAGTCGATGATCGAATTTTTAGATAAATATGATATTTACTCATACATACAGTATTTACTAGTAAATACTATGTTAAACGGTCGCCAAAGTCAGTGCCCGGATTTTTGAATAAATATAATATTTACTAGTAAATACGATATTTACTGATAAATATGATATTTACTAGTAAATACGGTAAAAATTAATAAATATGATATTTACTCGTAAATACAGTGTTAAACGGTCGCCAAAATAAGTGATCAATTTTTTTGGTAAATATGGTATTTATTAGTAAATACCGTATTAAATTACGGTACTAAATGGTAAATACATTATTTACTAGTAAATACAGTGTTATACGTTCGCCGAAAAATAGTCACTGAAAAACAGTCACCGGTTGTCAGAAAAATGGTCTCTGATTGTTGGAGCCGTCCGCCAGTCGCCGGAGCCGGCCGGCCGATTTGGCCATGTAGACTTGTCTATAATCTACCTATTTTAAAAAATATGCTATAATTTACTATTTAAAATATTTTTAGAGAGGAAGAGTGAGGTAGGAAAAAAAATTTAGGGGTATTTTTAAGTTTTGAATAATGTTTAGAACTTAAAATATCAAATTATATTATAATTTACTAATCCTTTTACCAATTATACTATTTCCCACCCCTTTTTTAAATTGCGTAAAAGTTGCATTAAGCCGGGTTGGGAGGGGGAACTATGGCATTTTGCAATGTCCAAGCAGCATAAGTTACAAGTTACAACCACAACATGTACGTGTTTACATGAGTATTGCAATTAGACAAGCCCTGCCCAGACAAGATCCTGAACAGTTTTGTTACATTTATTCTGTACACTTCCAATATCTTCTTAACACTCGTTAAAAGGACATCATCATCAGTTCAAGCCAAAAATTTCTCCAACAAGTTTCCGAAGAAGAAGCTTGTCTTGGCCCACCCACTAGCCTCAGGTGCCTTGGAACTTGTTGGGACCTTCTTCACACTCAGCATCATTGTGTGCCCGATTTCTTTACGAAGCGCTTCGATTGTCTTCATATCCACCGGGTTTCCTGATGCGTCTCTCACGAAGAAGACATTCACTGCTTGTTCCCCAACGGTTGAGACTCCTGCTCTTGAAACTGACAGCCCATTCTCTCTCAGAATCCTCGTTACTTCCGATAACAAGCCTACTCTATCTTTTGCGCAAAGCTCCAGTCTTAGACCCTGCTTTCATGGCAAAATTCCCATTTCCAATTATGAATCAAAATAGTACGAGTGTGGGTTTTAAGTGTTTTAACTTAAGCCAGACGTGTTGTATCCATCAAACTTTTCAACGGTAGTTTTGGCACCGCAATCACTATAAAACACGGACTTTTCTTGCAACTTGTGCATAAAAATGTTGTTATCGGCCACAGATGGGCATGACTATAAAAAAAGAGTAATACACCTGAAAAGGTTGTTTTGCTTTCTATTAAAGCAAGACATAAATGGTCCCAGTCGGTTAGAGTTTTCCACTGACCTCGCTTACTCTTCTCTGAATTGCGGCTTCTATACATTTGACGACCCTTTCCTTTTCTCCTTCCGTATCAAGTGTACAACCATCCATGTGACGAATATAATACTCCTACAGTTGCATGCATTATTTCAATTATTTCAATTTAAAATTTTAAGGAGGCATCAAGACATGTTATGATGACGCAAATGCAATTTGTATTTTGCTTCTGATAGAAGGCACAAACTGATACTTCTTCAAACAGCTAAGACAACCTAGCATCCAAAGAAGGTCAATCAGAAATTCATTAGATGCTAGATGAACATGAACGGATAAGAGATAACTTGTGGGAGTATTTGAATAAAACGTAGTATAGTAAGTTTTATATTCTTTTTTGTGGCAGATTATAATAACAATTATGGGATATTGCACCATTCATGCATGTGTCTTGTGGTAATCCCCCGGACAATAATTTCAAGAAAACAGAAAATATAAATTTACCTGTGAAGCATAAGGAGCATCTGATGAGATAGTCGCATGGAAAACAACATATTGCATATCTGTGAGTGTGCACACAATGTCAAACATCAGTTTCGCACGATCTTTACAGCGGACACTCACAACTGAGTATCCCTTTTCCTCACAACGCTCTATCGCGATCTTTGGTTTGAAGGAAGGAGGAGAATCGACCTCATTAGTAAGTCCACAACCCTCGTAATCTCTGTCAGCAAACAACATTTGATGCAGCCGTCTATCAATGTGGGTGAATCCCATAGAGAAACTAGTGTAGCCCACTTTTTCATCATCCTCGCATCCTCGCAGAATGTTCTTTAGCTGCTCTTCCATAGCAGATAATCTGGTTGGATCATTCACTGCCCGGCATGTGACATCATCATTGACATAAAGAACACATGCTATCCGCCTATTATGCGTCCACACTTCAGCCACATACACATTAAACCGAAGGTTTGCAAGGACAGCTGAGATCTCAGACAAGAGACCTGGACGGTCTCTGCCTATGAGTTCAACCACCGTATGATCACCAATAGAGTGCACACCAACCTGTTTTCCTTGCCAAGTTTTCAGTTCCTCTGTGGTCTTCCCCTTTGGTCCTAAGGCCTATTGTAACAAGTCAAGAAAGAAAGGAAAGTCGGTACTGCTACATGTTTTTGTTTTTCTTTACTTCAATGAGTTCAGATGAAAAAAACACATAGTATGCTATATGTGACTGCTTTTCTTCGACCTGCCGAAAACTCTGTATCTATTCCTACCTTGACCCTTTATTAAAGACACAAAAAGCAGTTTCTATGCTCTTTTGGTCAAACAAGAAATTTAGGCCTGCAGCGTTATATGTTATGTGCCTTCTTGCATTATCTTAAAACAATACGAAGTAACAAATCTAATTTCTCAACTATCTGAAAAAACAAATTTGCAATAAATCTCTTTATGGCTTAGAAACTCTAGGACGCCCTTGAGGCAAATTAGAGAAAGGGATAGTCCGTATTTTGGAAGGCAGAATAAGAGACATTCAGCAGTAAATCACAAAGAAAATGCTGATTTCCAATTTGCAAGAACATATCTGTTAGAGCTTTTACCGTCATGCGATTTTTACTAGTTTCCCTTTGGATTGTGAGCTAAAGATCTTCATCATCCCTAGATAAGTTGACAAATTATTTTGCATATACAGTTCAGTTGAGGGATCTTTGAAATTATGCTCCTAATACTGGTTTCTGGTTCAACTACCTATGCTGGAGGTCTTTTCTGTTTCTAGGTAAAGAGCAGAAAAGCACAGGACAACAACAAAGCAGCAGGGGCTTACCTTCTCTATGTAGTCGATGGTCTTGCTATCGGTAATTTTGTTTCCTTGCTGATCAGTGACATGAAACACTGGTCCAAAGCAAATTTACAGTTAAATATTTCGCTAATGTGCATGAAAGCCCATGGCAAAAATGATGACAATTATGAAATGTCAATGAAGATTCCATGCCTAAGTCAAGGTAATTACTAAAGTTTTAAAAAATAAAGGAACATACCATCCATGAAAAATCCGCCATCAGAAGAAATATACGCTTTAGTGATGATGAGATCAAGGTCAGATAAAATTTGTACAACTTCTAGCAGAATTCCTGGTTTGTTAACACTGTCAAGCTGCAGATCAAAATTACATACACATTCATTTCACTGTGTGGTTTGAGTCACGAGTTGCAGAAAGAGAGAATATAGAAGGGCAAGAAAAATGAAGCCTCTTTCAATATAGCTGGATTAGAAGATATTTGTTTCAAACTTCAAGTTTACTACAATGATTTACTTCCATAATCATTTGCTAAAAATGCTGTTATACAGTTATAGGATAAGTCAAAATCCAAACTGCAAGAACCTAGTGCATTAACAGGAAGCATAATCCCTATCTATAAAGATAAAAATAAAAAATAAAAAAAAAATTAAATTAAATACCTTGATTAGAGTACAGTCACTACAACTGGAGTTGTCAACAGACACCCTGAAAACAAAATTATACAGAGAAGAAACTGTTAAGGCAACAAGCTCTTAATATGGCTTATGAGGAAATGCTGACTAATACCAGTATCCCATCATGAGAAACTAGAATATGAAAAAAGCTTTAATCATCGTCATCAGCTATTGCCAATTAAAGCACGGCACAGGCTTCATTAGGATTCGATCATGCTTATCTTACGCAATGCATGACATCACTAAAACCATTTTGACATGTGCCTGCACTCTTGGCAGCCATTTTCATCAAGCGTTTCACGCGTAAAATGGCTATAGAACCGTTGAGGATTCTGGTTTTGATGGCTTTTCTGAGCACATCCAGCATTTTGTGAACAAGTTACAAAGAGAGACCAAAAGAACAAAAACCTTGGAGGATTGATTCTCGTGCTTAAGTTCTCATACTCGGGATCAAAATACGGCCAACAAACTTTTGCCATTAGACCACAACTTCACCAATCAACCAGAAGCGCCTCTGTTCCTGCAGCACAATGAATCCACACAAAGCCTCGTTAAAAGCCATGCTGTTCCAACCTATAAGTCACGAATTCACCTTTAATTTCTAGACTAAGGTCTCATTTATTTCACCTATTCGAGTTTTGTTACAGTAAAAAACTCTCATTTTTATTATAATAAAAAGTTCTCATATAAAATCACATCTCGACGAACTTAAAGGTCATAAAACTATTGACTTGGAGAAAGAGAGAGCGTTACTTTACACTAGTCAACATATAGTAATTAGAGCAAAACTCTTAAACCAACATTATTTTCCAGTAAAATTAAATTAAGACCCATAGCTACAGCTCTATGCTACAGAGAGAGGCGTACGAATGGTGCTACTAAAATTAATAAATAAGTGAAAATTAATGAATAAAACATTGAAAAAAAAACGAAAAAAGAAGACATTCTTTTGCTTATCTTCAGATTTAAAGCTAGTGAAAGATGGAAAATAAAAAAAGCCCCCAAGTTGCGTGGATTCTAATGGGTCCAACTTGAGATTTTAACGAAAATTTGAAGATAATTAGTCTAATCACAAAACTAAATACCTTTCAAGGCTAAAAACATCATCTTTTGATGAATAGGCTCATGCGTTCTGAGTTAATTAGTGGACGTTTGGTTTATAGATTGAGAATTATAATTTAAAATTATTCTCGTTTTATGTGTTTTTTGTGAGAGAAAAATACTGTAAAAAATCATAAATTATGATTCAGAATCAGAAATAAATATAAGAAACAAACGTCCCATTAATCTTTCTTGTCTTGACTTTTTTTTTATTGGATTTATTTATGATTAAGAGAAAATTCAAAATGAAGTTCGAAAAAATAAGGAACTGTAGTCTGTAAAAATAGGAAAGAAAAAGTGTTCGATGTAAAATAAAGATTTGATTCCAAACTACCACCATCCGTATCTCTATGGTCCAAGATGGCATCCATCAATCAACTGGTCGACTGATCATGACCGTCCGTTCCACTATTTTCCAAAACTTAAACTTTCCTTTAATTCAACAAAGCTTGGCTTTGAGAAATTTATTAAAATGATTATCTAATAAAATATAATTTACAAAATAACATTTATAAAAAGTGGTCGTTTTTAATCGTTTTGTAATTATTTTATAAATGAAAAATTTTAAAAAATTACTTTACTAATAAATTTTTTTTACTGAGTCATCTGGCCTCAACGTAACCAAAAATAAAAAAATAAAAGGAAAACTTTGGCTCAATTAAAGAAAAGGAAAAAAAAATTCAATTGAATTGAAAACGAAATTGTAAGTAGTGTTCTACATCACAAACTGCAAGAAACTGAAAATGGAAAATCAGAAAGAAAATATAGAAAAAAAACGAAACAATTCGTTCGAGAATGCAAAACTTTACCAGAATTTTCCGGATTCAATCTTCCAAAATGACGAACCGAAACGAAAATCTCGAAGGAAACCTGCAAAAGAAAAAAAAAAACAAAAAATATATATAAACAAAAGAAAATCATGAATTCTCAACCAACGGATGAGGACACAGAGACAGAGTGAGGAAAGAAGGAAAAAAATCGAATCTTGACAAAAAAAAAAAAAAAAAAAAAAAAAAACGAACCAGTGCCGCTACATCTCGGTAATTGAGAATTGAGATGCCAGCAAGAAGAGTACTACTGGTTTTGCTAGAAGAAGAAGAAAGAGAAATGGAAATTTGAATTGAAATGAAATGAAATGACCTTACGAAAGAGTTCCTTCGGAAAGACAAAGAGCTTTCTCACATCTTGAACCAGAAAAAACCAGTAGAGACTAGATATATATATATATATATATATATATATATATAGAGAGAGAGAGAGAGAGAGAGAGAGAGAGTTTTAGTTTTATGTTAGTTTGAATGAGAGAGATATAAGAAAAGCAAACGCGAAAGCAAAGGAGGAAATTGAAGCTCCACTGCACTTTGCCCTGCTTTCGACGTCGGAATACCACTCTTCTTCACTCTTCTCTTTCTCTCTCTTCTTATTTTTTTTTATTAAAAATAATAATGAGAGAGATAGAGATAGGGGGACAGTTCACACTTGGGCTGGCTACTTGGCGACCCCCTACTAGTACTACTAGGATTAGGAGTGGCATGAATAAACTGCCTTTTGTAACTTTGTTTTTTCTAATATCTTTTAACCATATTTACGTCGTTCTGTAATGATACCTGATAGCGTACTTTTTTTTAATCGTTAGATGTCAAAATAAAAAAATATGTAAGATAAATAATTTCATATATAAATTTTAAGACCTATCGGTATACATATTTTCAGAGCCTACCATAAAATCTTCCCTCTCTTTGCTGAATGGAACAATTTTCTTTTACTTATAATCTTATTTCTTCTTCCACTAATTTTGTTTCTTTTATGATAAAAAAGGGAACACGAGGTTTATTTAGAAACTGTACTTTCGGTTTGTTATCTTATTACATGTATCTTTAAATTAGATTTAATATCTAAATTTAAACAATTTCACAGTTAATTCTTGATTTTTACTTTTAAAATACATAAAAATACTCTTAAATAAAAAATAAAAAAGAAAAAAAAAACTAAAAAACGAATTTTGTTAGATCAAATTTAATTAGATAAAAAAAATGAACTTATTAGTGGTATGGATCATGAAGTATTCATAATTTAAACTCTTAGAAAGGAGTATCCGGCAGCATTCAAATATTTAACCACATATCGACTACGATAGTCCATTACTGCCAAGTGATCCCACTTCGTGGTTCAACAAATTTTGTTTGCCTTCTAGAGTTCTAGTTTTATATTTACATAAATGACGTGGCAGCCAAACACCTCCTTTCTTCTTCTTCTTTTTATTTTTCTATTTATACTATTCGAAACATGCGCGTAGCGTGTGAGTATTTAGTATGTTATATTTTTTAGATACATACATTTAGAAAAAAGAAATATTAACACACAAAAAAATATATATTTAGACAAGCACGTATTTAGAATTATTTAAGTGAGAGCATATTAGAGAATAAAGTTTAATAAGACATAATTAGAGAATACAATATTTAAAATGAATAAAAAAGCAAAAGGATTAAAATGTATGTATCAAATTAGACAAAGATGTTTTAATAAGTCATGATTATAAACATAAGATCTTTTTATAAAAAGACAAATAAAACATTTTATATATATTTCATCTTATGTTCCTTCCATCCTATTCAAAAACTCATTCACACTTAGTGAATTGAAGAAAAAAAATTTCTGCTAAAGCCAATAGGCAGGTAATAGCAAGGAAAAAAAATAAAAAAGGCAATATGTAGGGGGAAAAAAAAGAGAAGAAAAATATAAAAAAATCTAAAAATAAAAAAGAGTAAAAAATATTAAAAAAAAAAAATGGAGGCCACCATTCTTATTTAAGTACGTAGGGATTTATCTTTATTTTTAATTTTATTTGAAGAAAAACATCTGACGTCTTTCGTACTGTTTCTGTGTACAGACAAACTACAATGCAGATGATGTCGCAGTCTCAGTATAGTTGGCGCGTGCTACACGTTCTTAGATGGATTTGCTGGGCGTGTTTTGTTATGACTTGCATTTTTAGGCACTCGGAGAAAAAAAATATTTGTTATAATCTTTAATCAAAAATTGAGATTATATATTCTTAAAATATAATAGGGAGACTTTAGTATTTTATTTTTTCGATAAGGATGAAATTTGTAAATCTTGTTAAAACTTAGTATAACTTAAAAGTTTTCTTACAAGGGATTTTGTTTAAAAAGTCGTATTTTCTTGCACTGATTGGAAAGTGTTTTGGAGCCAAAAATTATTGTGAAAACTTATCTCAACATTCTTTAGAAGCAATATGTGGACGTAAAAAGTCAAAAAAAGTCCTCTTTTTTTTTTTTTTTTTTTTAGGAAACTCTGGATTGATAAAACATTTATCTATTTGATATTTTTTTGGATTATTATCACATGTACTCTTAAACTTTAAAGTCATTGTTAATTTATTTTCTGGATTTTAAAAAATCTCGTTTTGTCCTTTAAACTTTAGATTATTCTCACTTAATTTCTTTAGTTGTATTTTTTCTTAAAAATAGATAAAAAAAAAAGAATAACGCAGTTATTGGCCGTTCTGTTTGAATTTATATAAAAAATAAATAGATAAAAACTATATGACCACACATAACTTCTTTCTTTTTATCTGATTTTATAGAAATTCTTATAAAAAGGCTTAAATGGGAAAAATTAGGCTTAAATAGGATAAATTCAAAATTCAGAGGGCTTGTGAATGTTTTTAAAATTTAGAAGGTAAAGTGACAATCACTTTATAATTTAGAGATATTAATGAGAATAATCCTATTTTTTTAATCAAATTCTTTGAGTACCTTATGTAACAGTTTATAGATGGTTATTTTCCCAATCCCCACAATTAAAAAACTAAAATGTTATAGAAATAGAGAACTGTGATCAGGTCTAGGTAGACAGTTTGGTGTTGATACTCTTTTTTGTTCTCTCTATTTTTTTTAGTTGATTTTGTGCTTGAAATTAACATTCTATTAGTTTCCAGTTAATATTATCTTCATACTAGATAGGTTTTCGTTAATATTAGGTTGCATTATACACTGGCAGAGTGTTGGCCGATGTCTGTCTCATCTCTTGGATTCCAGGATGAAAATATCGACATTCTTACTGATATTTTTGCAGAATTTTTTGTGTTTTGAAAGTACCGATATAGAAATAGGAGTGTAGTATTTTTTCTGCAGAATATCTTGAAATTTGTACAGATATTTTCGTAAATATCAATATTTTCACGAAAGTTTCTATTTCTGAATAAAACGTAATGTTAAATGACCGAATATCGTAGAAATTTTACGAAAATTTTGCGAAAATATAGGTAAATTTTCCATATAAATTTTCACAACTTTATATATATTTTTTATTAAACTTTTAAAAAAAATTTAAAAAAATATGATATGTCTAAAATTATATAAAGAGCTATTCAAACTCCATGTTTTGGTATCAACACAAGTTTAAACTAAATATGTGTTCAAAATACCTTCCAACCTCCTAGAAGCTCCTTTTGGTGTTGACAATTTACCATCATGTGTGAAACCATATAGATATGGTATATGTATTATGTTGACTTTTAGCTATTTTACTTAATTTGTGAACATGTGCTTAGTATTTATAGTATTATGATCACATTTTACCTTGCATATTTATCAAATAATTAGTATTTTGATTGAGAGTTTATTATTATCTATTTTAAGCTTTTTAAAGTCTCATTTGAAAATAGAGTGTTTAATTAGTATGAATTTCCGTTTTTTACGTTAATTTTCACCGATATCGATATTTCTATAAAATTTAAGTACCGATATTTTCGTAAATATTAATATTTCTATAAAATTTAAGTATCGATATTTACGGAAATATCGATATTTTCATCTTGCTTGGATCAACATGGAAGGAACAAGCAGCCAAACGAGTGGAACGACAATAATACCCCTTGCCAGTTCTTTGATAAGACCATGGACGGTTCATATTTTCACTCACCTTTACAGATAATAAATGCATAGAAGATAGCGACTAGACTAAGGAATTCAATTTCAAGCCATGTTGACACCACCACAAATGTTTAGCACATATGAGATACATCTACTTTGATAAGATAAGTTTTTCCTTTTTTTTTTTTTTTTTGGTTTTGAGGAAAACTTATTATATAAAAGCCATTGCAAGTATTTTTAGGGTCACTAAAAGCAATGTTAAACTATCCCGTTACTTCTTGGCTATCTAATGAACTTAAAATTATGATTTTAAGAGCGTTTGAACAACTTTTAAAGAAGAGTTTTATGTTCCCACTTTGTGGGGTTTGATGATCTATCCTTCTAATGCTTGAAAGCTTATCTCGATGGGAGGAGTTTTTTCAATTCGAGCTTTATGTGTGCTCGTTGTCAGTGTGTCGAGGTGTTTTTCTATTTTCGGGCCTCAAGCATGCGTCTATCCTTTTAATGGGTCATTAATATTATACCAAAATAATTATTTATTAGTTTTTAATTAAATGTAACTTTCCTTTCAAAACAGAGTCATAATTTTGACGTCTCAAAAGACTGTTTTAAGAAGATTTTGAAACACATAACAGTTTATTATCTTATTTGTCCTAAAAACATATAGTTCCATGATTATTTGAAAAAAAACATAGCTTTTACTCATCGTTTTCTAGCACCTATATAAAAGAAGTAAGGCAAACAGGGCCTTTTTTTTTTTTTTTTTTTTTTTTCCTTTTTTGAGTAATTAACGGACCCTTAGTTGTTTGTTACATTAATGTCAACTTTAATTTTTTTTCTGGGATCATTTATTATCATTTTCATATAAAAGTAAAAACTATAAAAAGAGTTATCCTTTTAACCGAAACTTTTATGACAAGAATTTTTTTATTGATATTGCACGTACTAGTATAATTACATCACAACAAAAAAATATAGACGTATTATCTAATCTAATCTAATCTAATGATATAAAAATTCACAATGCACAATTCTTAATTATAGAGTATCCTGTTATACGTGCCACATAGTTCTCCCAAAAAGTTAAAAACAACATATAAAACACGGAACATGCAGATAGTTCCATTAAAAAAAAAAAAAAACACGCATGATAGTTTTACTAGCCTTTTTCCACCACAAAATGAGAGTTCTAAAAATTGGATAAAATCTTCATGAATTATAAAAGCAAAT